GTGGCTGCTCTCTGTCGCCCCCCGCAGGGCTGGAGCAGCTTCACTACTGGAGCCAGCAGGTTTGCCTCAGCAGCCAAGGAGGGCGTAAGTCACCGTCCCCACCACGCCACTGGGCCCTTGGGGCACCGGCCACTGCTGGGCTGGGGTTCTGGGAGCTGCAGAAGGGATGTGAGACGCAGAGGGCGTGTGGATGCTCTAACCAGGGGCTGTGCCATGTGTACCAGCTGGGGTGGTGCCAGGGCCTTGGAGGTTCTGCAGGAACACAGCAGCTCAGGCTGTTCAGGAGCCGCTCCTCCTGCATCAGACCCGCTGCTGGCAGAGGGGTCCCGCCCCGATGAAAGTGAGGGAGAGGTGAGCCCTGGACCCCACCCTAACCCAGCAAGGCAGGTCTCAGGCACCACGTGTCCCTGGAGCTTCTGCTTCTGGGGCTCGTCGTGTTTTGATAGCGTTTTCTCTCTCTTTCACCTGTTCCTCATCCTGAAATGCGGGGAGGATTTGGGACTTTGGTCAGGGCAGGCGGTGGAGCTTGAGGCAGGGACCCAGGAGCAGGCCTAAAAGCAGGATGGGGCGTGGGCCTCTGGGGGCTGGGCTGTGGCGTGAAAGGAGAAGGGGGGGCCCGGAGCAGGACAGAGCGTTGCACTGCGTGCCTGCAGCTGCCCAGACAAGCATTCCGGCACCCCAGTTGGGGCCCGTGTGAGCAAAGTCACAGTGCGTACCTGCCAGGTGTCTCTGCGGTCACTCTGGTCCTGTGTCTTCCCCAGGCCCTGCAAGGGGCAGCAGGCCAGGCGTGCAGGCTCCAGCTCCCATGGCCCCATCACTCCATTTGCCGAGTGGCTGCTTTTGGCTCCCACCAGGGCCTCTGTTTCCTTGCCTCCAGGGGAGGGCTGCAGCCTAGGGAAGTCCAGGTGCCTTCCAGCCAGAGTGTCATGGTCTGGCCTTTCCTCCTCCCATGGAGCGCAGAGGTCACTCAGGTGCTGGGAGTCGCCGTGCCTGGACCATACTGGACAAGGAGCCATCCCCACATCGTGGGAGATGGGGCTGGGGCGGTGGCGAAGCCCGTTGATGAGCACTGCTGTGGCTTCCCCAGCCTGTCCTCTGCCCCAGCAGTCTCCACCCCGGGACCACATCTGCAGGTGTCCTGAAGGCTGGAGGATGGGGCTGGCCCTGCTGTTCCCCGGCCACGTACTGCTCTTGTGCGCCCTGACCCCAGTGGCACACTGGGCTGGCCCTGCTCCCGGGAGAAGCCGGCATTTGTGCTAACCCAGGCCCCACTGCAGCTCTCCTGGGCATCTCAGAGCTATAGGTCGCCTCAGAGCCACCAGCAGCCCGGGGGCCACTGGGAGACAGTCCTGGAACTGAGAGTCCGTGGCCCTGAGGAAGGAAGCTTGGCCGGCGGTGCTAAGACTGTTGGCTCCATCCGCGCGTTTCATTTTAGGCTACAGCGTTAACACTGTCAAGCTCTGTGTTTTTCATTTTAGGCTACAAAGTTTGGATCCCAAGCAAGTCAGAAGGTAACAGAGGAGAAGCTTCTGCACCTTGTACTGAGCCTCTGATGTCGCGTGCAGCCCACAGCTGCCTGGTTCCCTCTTCCCAGGCCGCGTACTTGGGGCCGAGGGCCCAGCATAGCAGGGGTGTTCCCAGCATGTTGCTCCCTGGCTCGGCCCCTCCTCATGCCAGGGTGGCTGCCTCATGGGCCCGCTCAGGGCCTTGGGGCCAAACTCGCCACTGTTACTGGCACCTGGTACTGGTGTGCGGCCACTTTGCGGCCGAGCACCTTGTTGGGAGCAGGACTGCCAGGCTTGGCAGATGGCCTACACTGGTGGCGGCTGCCCAGCGGGCAGGGGCGTTGCGGGTGGTGCTGTGCCGGCAACACCCAGGATGCTCTGTACTCAGGGCCATGGAGCGTCCTCCTGCCCTGGCCAGGACGTCCCCCAGTTGCAGGCGGTGTGGCCTCGGGCCTTCGTATATTCGTATTCTTTGGGATGTGAGTGGCAGCCCCACGGTTCCCACTTGGTGGTCAGAGCTGTGGTCTGGCTGTCCTGAGGGTCAGAGTCACCCAGGAGGCAGTGGCCACATGAGGCCCACCACGAAAGCCAGGACTGCAGGCGTGGAGCTATACGTGGTTTTTTAGGACACACCCTTGCTCCCAGGGGGAGGGGTCCATTCTCACGAGGTGCCCGTCTGTCACCCCCGTGGCCTGGATCATTCCTTTCCTCTCTGAGGGAGTCTTCCGTGTGGCCACCCCCAGCTGCAGGGATGCCTGCCTGGCTTTGCTGCGGGCCCCTAGGCTCCTGAGCCGCAGTCACTTACGCAGTTCCTGAGCGTGGTGGTCAGGTCCAGGGCAGGGAGTGGTGGCCTCAGGTGGTGTTGCTGAGACCTCCCCCTGCCCCGTGCTGCCTTAGCGCTGCGGCACCGCGTGGCGGGTTCGAAGGCGCTTTGGATTACTAATGCTGCCCTCACCTTGCTCTCTCCTTACCTGTCGCCTCGCTGTCGGGTAAAGTTTTGGGGTCACAAGCAGCAGCCGGAGCCGGTAAAGCCCGCGTCTGCTCATGCATGGTGTCCACGTCTCCGCCGAGAATGCGCTTGGCTCCCGCTGCCCCTCCTGCGTGCTGCCGCTGTCTCGTGTCACCTCACGTGTGCACACGCGCAGACCCTCTCCCGGCCTTGGGCAGTGGTTCTCCTTTCAGATCCAGGATCTGCATCAGGCTTGGTGGTGTGTGCCTGTCACCCCAGTACCACTGCACTCCAGCTTCGCAGGATAATGAGACCTCATCTCCAAAAAACACAGACCCTGACCCAGGCTTGCTGCCAGGAGGCCCTGGAGGGAGCCGGGGGCACTGGGCGTGGAGCTGCTGAGCAGGGTTTCCAGGCCACGCTGCCCTCCTTCGAGCTTAGTGCAGAGGAGGATCTTTGCTCCGTGACGAGTCCTTCCCCTTACAGTCTTTGATCTGCGCTTCTTCCTGTGCAGAGGTCTTGGGGAGAGGAGGCCTCACACCACATCCGCAGGTGGCCCTGTGGCCTCGATGCCCGAGTGACCCAGGATCAGGAGGGGTTGCCCTCCTTTCTCAGCAGCTTCTTCCCATGGCCCCAGCCTCCCTGCCCTCTTCCCTCCAGGGGGTGTTCCTCCCAGGCAGGGAGGAAGACGAGGCATCCCAGGTCAGCCTGGGGTGGCAACAGCTGGTGTTGGCTTCAGGCTTGGGCTGCACGGGGCATGTCGCCACCAGCCCAGCCCTGCTGGCTGCATGGCGGCACATGAGGGAGACCCCCAGAGGGAGCTCCCTGTGTCCTTGAGGGCCCTTCCTGCGAGAATGGGGGGCACGGTCTTCGCCCTCTCGAGGTGGTGGCTGACTGCACGTCGGGGGTTGTGTGCAAAGCCCTGTCCTGCCTCCTGCGCTCGTGCCCTGCTGCTTTCCCCTGCTGGCGAAGCTCCCGCTGCCCTTTGCTGGCCTGGGCTGCCGCTGCCAACCCATCTCCCGCACAGAGTTGCCATCAGGGCTCACATAACTTCCCTTCCTACAGGCGTCGGAGCTGGGCCACAGCCTGAACGAGAATGTCCTCAAGCCTGCGCAGGAGAAGGTAATGTGGCATCTCCGAGGGGTTGATGTGCTGCTTGTACTCAGAGCCCTGCACTCGGGGTGGGGTGGGTGCTGGTTTGTCCAGCGGCTGACACTCAGGCCCAGCCTCACACCCTGCTTCTCCAGCACGGGCGTCCTCCTCGGGGGCTGGGTGCCTCTCGGAAACTCCAGTTGACCTCTTCCCCTGGCCTAGGGCCTCCCTTGCAGGCCCCCAGCCCCTTCCTCTCCTTTGCCTCACCCCCTAGAGCTGGCCCTAGTGCCGTGCACCGAGGAGGCTCTGGTGTAGGAATGACATCCACCATCCTCGGGGGTCAAGAGCCCTGCTAGCTCCCTGCCTCCCTCGGGGCCTGATTGGGACACGCAGGGGACCTGCCTGGGCAGCGTGGACCGTCCTCAGGCCTGACTGGGACACACGAGGGACCCACCTAGGCAGCGTGGACCGTCCTCAGGCCACTTTGTCAGCAGTGCGTGGCAGGGGCCCCGTCTGCAGGTGCCAGGCCTGTCAGTGATGTGGTCTCTTGATGCTGAAATCACTTTGGGGCCAGTGTAGAACTTTCTGGGCTCAGCCTGACAGCTTTCCACGTGCCCTTGTTTCTGGTGCCCTCACCCTGGGGACTCCCTGCATTCTGGAAGCTTTAGGCTTTAGTCTCTTCCGTCCCCACTAATGCTGCCATCTTAACCCATGCAGGTGAAGGAGGGAAAGATTTTTGATGATGTGTCCAGTGGGGTCTCTCAGTTGGCCTCCAAGGTAGGGAGCCTGCCAGAGGCGCAGGTGCGGCTGAAGCTGGTCTCCATATCCACGGCCCTGGGCACCAGAGCAGGGGCTCTCTGAGCAGGCCCCAGCCTGCCCCAGCCCACCTCGGCAGTGGCCCCGTCCTCAGAGACGGGGGAGGAGGGCCGCCCGGCCTAACAGCCAGATGGATATGGAGACAGCTTGGCCTGCTGCGGCCCGGCCCGCTACTAACTGTCCCTTCCGCTCTTACCTTGCTGCTGCGGCCTTTTCCTCGGTAAGTGCCGGCACCATCCTCGCCGTCTTCCGTCCGCTGCTCTGCCGGCCGGTCGGGGTCTGCGTTTTGTCCTGTTTGCTGGCGTGGGGTGCTCTGCAGATGGGGAGGGAAAAGCAGGCCCCACCCCTCTCCCCTGTGTGTGGGTGGGTGCTCCTGTAGTCTGTGCACCCAGCGCTGCTGTGCGTGTCTGTGTCCGAGTGTGCCAGGCACCCCTCGCTTCTGGATTTTACCTGGGCCTTCGCTGCCGGTTGGTGTGCACTGGCTTGCGTGCCTGTGCCGTGACGGGGCCTCCCTAATCTCTCTTCTCATCTTCCAGGTCCAGGGAGTCAGCAGTAAGGGATGGCGGGACGTTACCACCTTTTTCTCGGGGAAAGCAGAGGGTCCCTTGGACAGGTACGCCATGTCCCCACCCCCCGGGCCTGTGTCCCACCCCCCTCTCTTGACCACTCCTCTCACAGGCTCTCCAGGAGGTGGTTGGCATCCTTGCTGAGCAGCGTGGTGGGGGGCACCGTGGAAGGCTCTCCTAGTGCTCTGGCACTTCGGGGGCCTCTCACCTGTCCCTGCCCTGGCTGTGTGCTTTTTGGAGCAGGAGCTGGGGGTAGGGAGAGTCTCACCCACACGCCCCTACATAGGACTGGTAAGAGGAGGAGCCGGCCTTGCTCTGCCATTCCTCTGTCTCCCAGACTGGGTGGGTGGAGCAGGTGGGGGGCAAGGGGACAGCAGGGCTGGGACCCCCAAGACCTGTCCTGGACCCTGTGTCCAGCTCTGTGCTTGGCACTGGGTGCCCCAGGCATTCCTGCTGGAAGCTGGCTGCTCTTCTCAGTCCCTGACCCCAACAGGAAGCACAGGGCTCATAGGGCCTGGCCCTGTGCTGTCCACTGAGACGCCAGCCCTGGTGGGCACGGATGCTCTGTCCCCAGATGGGCCCAAACTTTCCCTGCAGATGCTACATCCTTTCCCTCCCTTTGTGTGTGTGGGGTTTCAGTGGTGTGGCTACAGCTGAGGACAGAGGGCAGGGCCTGGTCCAGGGCCAACATGCAGC